TAATATTATATTATACTCTATTAAAATATTTTACTTATTTAATCACATTTATAAAATCTTTCACAAACTTTACAAATTTCATCTCTAAATTTAATTCCAAATCTCTTAAAAAATATACAAAAATTTTAATTTTAAATCCAATTAAATTCATCTATTCACTTTTCTCAAACACATTTTTACAATTAAACAAGTCTTAAAAAACTAAATAATCTTCCTTTAATCGAAGATGAATTAAAGCATTATACCTAAAATACAAGTTCTTTTACTAAATTTAAACTACATATTAAAACTAACAGTTTATTAGTATGAGTAAAATCAGGCTCACATTCATTAATAAAAATTCAAGTTTGAAACTTCAGAATAATCAAGAGAAAAAAAATATTTTAACACTTTTTAAGAAAGATCAATCATTAATAAAAAAAATACGAATATATCTAAAATATTTAAATATAAATATAAATTTTAAGATGATATTAAGCTCAGGACAAAAGATACATTAGCATCTTAATTCCTACGGAATAAGGATAAAAATACAATGATACAATAAAATAAACCTATATTTTTACTATTCGCCAAATCTATTTTATTGTGATATGTTTTAAACTGAAATCCGTATAGAACAAACATGCATTGATCCAATAGAATGAAATAGATACTGTTAATGTTAATAATTGTACCATTGTTACAAGAAAAACATGGTTTTATACATTCCTTAGGTGAGACACGTGTTGATATTTTTAATTAAGTTTGTTATTTAATTTTTGTTAATTAACGAGTGACTATTACCTGTTTTAATCTCTTAAGAAATGTGAGATTAAAAAATGCAAGATTTTATTCTTAATTATGAATAAAGTCAATTATCATTACATTAGCAATAATATTATTTATATTAACTATAAAAAAATAATTAAAAAATATAAAATTTGAATACTCGGTAAATCAATAAAATTTAATGTTAAATTTACGATATACTTAGAAATTTAATTAAGATTTAAAATAAAAATATCAATAAATAATGTATAATGATCTTTTTATTAAATTTTTCATCAAATTATTGTCGTTTAAGAATCTTATTTTTCCGAATTAAAACTGAGTTAAAAAAACTATTTTATTAAATCATTTAACACAATGAGAAATTAAACATTTTAATAATCATGACTTTCAAACTTAATACAATAATAATTGATATAGAATGTCATATAAGATTTATATTTTGAATCCTCTAAAAATACTCATAATAAGAAAAAGACTCTGCTATTATTTCTAAAATCCTAAACTAACACAAATTTTAAATCGTAAAATATTTTTAAAAATTTAAAAATCTAAATAAATCTTGAAAATATAGCGAAAAATAAGTGTATTTTTATATTAAAATAAGAATTCCTATCTCCATGGTCGTTTAAAGATCATAGATTACCTGGTTACCTATATACCCATACCACCTCGCCGCCGCACACAGCCGAAGTGCGATTTTGCAGCTCGCAACGCCACCGCCAACTTTGCTGTCAACGTCCTTCGCCGTAGCTTAGCCTTCAGGTACCTCTATTTCTCTTTCTCGTTTCGCAGGAATCTCTTTATCTTGTAGGGTTCAGGGATCATAGTTCAATGCTTCGTGCACGAATTAATCAACCGAAAGAGGACAAGAAAATACCTAATTAGTGGTTTTCCTTTTTGTCTATCTAAATTAATGGGTTCAAGATGTTGAAACTTGAAAATAGTGATAGACGAGTCTGTTCCCTGTTAGCTTTGATACTTGTGTTGTTCTCCAATTTTACTGCGTACGGTCTTGTAAATTAAATCGTTAAAGGTGATTGCGTGCTGACCAATTCCGTATTTTGTAAATTGAACTCCATCAATTTTGTTTGATGAAAGTCTGCATCATTGCTTTGTTTATTCTGTTTATATACCTTCTTAAACGTTTAGTGGACAGAGAAGTTTGATCAGATTGGGTATACTTTCAAACTTTGTCGTGCAAGTTACTTTGAAAGCGGTGCTGTTCGATGCAGTAAGTGGCCCAGTTTCTCTGGATAATCTAGATAGTTCTTGAGTAAATTTAATTCTATCTACCCTCTCAGATGTTTAAGTTGCGAGTTGTTACGTGGCTACGTGAAAGAAATTCATGATGCTATGTTTATCGTAAGGTTGTTATGACTGATTGATTGCTAATACGTGATAACAATGGCCACTTATGTGATACTTGCATAAATTGGTTACTATAGATTTTCATAGAGATTTATTTTAAAGAAAATTAGCAGTGGAAATTGATATTTGTAATTTGGTAAAGAATTTTTTCCTTCTTTTTAATTGCATTTATTTTTATTTTGCTTATATATTTGATTTGTTCAAACTTCAAACCCGTGAAGAAGCAACTGAAACCGAAAACAAACTTGATTCATTGGAATTAGTAGGGATGATGCTTGATTGTGTTTATTTGTATTTTGAATTTGTAGGGTTTAGTTTCAAGTGTTGCTGCTGATATTCTGACCTGTAAGTAAAGATGAGACTGCTAACACATAACATGCTGTCATCGAACATAAAGGGTGTGGTGAATGGGTTCCCATTGCGCATTGAAGCAGAGAAAGTGGTGGAAAAGACTGTGGAAATGAATGGCGAGTTTCTGAAAAAGATGTTTGAGAAGGTTGATTGGAAAGCTTTGGTTGAAGCATCACGGGCCATGGGATACACTGAACTACCTGAGGAGGTCGACTCTTCCATTCTGGACTCTGATGAATTTCTGAACAGGTTTCACCATGCTCTCTTGGAACTCCACCTTGAGGAAGGGGCTCTTGTTTGCCCTGAGACTGGACGACGTTTTCCTGTCAACAAGGGCATTCCAAATATGCTTCTTCACGAGGACGAGGTCTGAGTTTTGTTGTTATTTCATAACCTCTACCTGTTTAGTGGCACTCGTTTTTTGGACACCATAGTTAAGAATGCTGGTAATGGAACTGCAGACTTTAAAAGTTGTGGCTGTCAAGTTTACCTTCTTTTTACCAACGCATGATGTATCCTCTGGCTGGGCTGTACTGGATAGTTTGACTATTCCTGAATGCAGGTTGCATTAAACTGCAGCATTAGAAATTAGCTTAAAAGATTTCTTTATATGCTTGTGTTTTTTAGTACTATTTACTGCTTTTTGTGTTGATGCTAATGGCTATTGATTGGAGTTTCTTCCCTTTTGATCATGTCATCCCCAAAGGCATAATCAGTGACAGTTTTGCCTGAATGCTTTTTCTTTTCTTTTATCGCTCTTTATGAAAAACCATCTGCTGGATTTTTATTGAAAAAAAAATCAATGAAGTGGTTTATTGCTTAATAGTGAAAGCTTTCATTTTAAAAGTATCATTATAATTTTGTAATTGAAAATGAAAAATCCATATAGAGATAGGAAGAGTAAAAGACAAAACGTAGAAATGAATATATATGAAAATATACCCAAATAATAAGAAAAAAAAAACACACTCCTTTCCACTATAAAATGGGTGAAATTAAATTTATCAGTAATTGTTTCTATTTTTGAAATTATTTTAAGTATTTTAGAGATTAATATTTTTATTTTTATTTAGTTATTTATCACCTCAGTAATTAACGTTTTGAGAGAGAGAATTATGTAATTTGTGTTTATCGTATTCTCTTATCTGAATAAAAAATAGTTTATTCAAAAAATATTAATAGTTTATCATATTAATTATAATATTTATCATTTTTCTTCAAAAAAATATTAATTAGTTAAGATTGTTCAAAAAAATATTAATTAGTTAAGACAATTTAAACAGATCTTATGTTAACAAATTATTCTCAATTAGTAATAATTGGAAGTAAATAAATGAACTGATAAAAAGGACAAATGAGAATTTTACTGTGTATTCTAGTTTGTATATAAGAGCGAATTAATATAAGATATTTTATCGGTTATAAGAAAACTTAAAATAATAAAAAAAGAAAAAAGCATCACTTTTTCGTTAGAAAAGTTAATAACTAATAACAAATGTAATTCTATTGGTGATATGTAAATGCTAAAAATGTCGTTATTCGATTAGCCGAAGGAAATTGATAATTATTCTATGTAAAATGATACTTGAACAACCATTTTTGACAACATTTAGACACGAGCACACATGTCAAAATCTGAGTGGTCCAGTTGGAAAAATTAAATGAAAATGGACCACTCAGATTTTGACACGTGTGCGCGTGTCTAAATGTTGTCAAAAATGGTTGTTCAAGTGTCATTTTCCTTATTCTATTAGCTTAAGGAAATTGATAATTTTGGGAACCGACAATTTTGTTTGACTGTAACACTAATTACCCTGCAGCAATCTTAACAATATAGCACATCCAACCATTCATATAAGGGTATTGCTTCTACACTCTATCAAATTTCTGTCTCACCCCATCAACAGTGGGATTTATCCTACAGTTACATTCTGTTGTAATACTGAATTAAACTACTTTGATATTTATGTTTTAATTGAAATTTAAATATTAATATAAAATATAATATAACTACATAGAGCTATTAATTTACATACTGTCACTGTAGAGAGTAAGACTTTGATTTTTGAAATTTCTCATTCCATCATGTGACTTGGGCATCAAAGATAATAAATGAGCTTTTATTAAGGATTGAAATTTCTCACTCCATCGTGTGGGGAACATATTCTGTCATGCGCGTACAAATACACGGAGATTTAGCTGCACAAACAGTTGCAATGGTAATAATATTTTCCATTCAACATAAAATTTTATCTGATGTGAAGTTTTTTATCCTGTTATCCAGATATGAACGATGGAAAATGATATTTTAACCGACACAAAATTTTTATATTCATTTGAAATTATTTTTTATTTATTAATTATTTTTTATTTTTATCTTTTTAAAAAAATACAAAAGTTCATTCTACCTTTACTAAAATATAATGCGTCAAAGTCCAAACTCTTCAACAGTATAAATAGAGTCCTTCATTTTATAATATCAAGACAAATTCAGAATGTCAGTAGAGTTCCATTGAATCAAGGTTCAGACCATGAATACATTTCCTCCTCTGCTTGCAATCATCTTTGCCTGTTTGCTATGCACAATCATGTTCTATACTGGCAATTGCAACTCCAATATTCGCTGCAACAAGAAAGACAAGGATGCTCTCTAAAAGTTCAAGCAAGGAATCGAAGATCCAGCAGGTGTGCTCTTTTCATGGTCAACTCAACACGATTGTTGCGAATGGAAAGGAGTCATGTGTGACAATTTCACGAGTAGAGTCACTCAACTCAGTCTTCCTTGTTACACAACTCCTCCAACTTACACTGATAAAATAGATAAATCACACTGCCTCACAGGTTCCATTTACCTATCCTTGTTTGTCCTGGAGTTTGAATTTCTATATCACTTGAATCTGAGTAATAACAACTTCTCAACTATTCAATTTGGTTCTCATGTGTATTCCCTAAATTGCCATAATCTATCTACTGCTACTCCTTCCCATCGATGTGTAAACTCTTCAGATCTTCGTTATCTTGATTTATCGTTCAACTTTTATGCCAAGACCAGTCTTCAATGGCTTTCTCATTTTTCCTCCTTGAAATATCTTAACCTCGATGGCATTGATCTTCACAGGGAAACCAAATGGCTTCAATCAGTCATCAAGCTTCCATCACTTTTAGAGCTCCACATGCATCATTGTCATCTTAAAGACTTGAGTCCGAATCTTCAATTTGCCAATTTTACAGCACTCAAAGTTCTTTCTCTTCCTGGAAATGATTTTAGGTCAGTGTTACCAAAATGGCTATTCAATTTAAGTAGTGGTATCTCTTCCATTGACCTAGGGTCAAATTTTTTACAAGGTCAACTACCTAAGGCGATGTTAGATCTTCGACACTTGGAAATCTTGAACTTGCACGACAATTACTTCAACGGACCAATTCCACATTGGTTAGGAGAATTTGAACATCTGAGACATCTTAATCTTAGAAAAAACATGTTTTCTGGATCTATTCCCACAAGTTTGGGAAATCTATCATCCTTAGTTTTCTTAGGGGTCAACTCAAATAGATTGACGGGAGTTGTGTCTGAGAAAACTTTTGCCAGACTGTCAAAATTGAAGAAGTTAGGCATATTCATATCACCACCATTAATCTTTGATTTTGACTCCAACTGGATTCCTCCCTTTCAACTTGAGCGATTAAATCTTGCATTTTCAGGAACTAAATTTCCTGAGTGGTTATACACACAAAAGTCTCTTGAATCTTTAAGTATTTACGAATCATCATTTGAGGGTAGCGAAAAATTTTGGAATTTTCTGTCAAGAATGAAAGAAGTGAATTTAGAACAGAATTCGATAGATGGGAACTTGTCAAACGTGTTGTTGAACTCTGCTTTCGTATCTTTGTCATCAAATGATCTGAAGGGTTGGTTGCCTCGATTGTCATCGAACGTGGTCGTTGTACGGTTGTCAAACAACTCATTATCAGGAAACTTGTCTTCTCTCTTGTGTGATGATGAGATGTTGAATGGGAAAAGTAATTTGGTGTACTTGGACGTATCACTTAATCGTCTGTCGGGAGGACTTACAAATTGTTGGGGAAACTGGAAATCATTGGTTCATGTTAATTTGGGAAGCAATTATCTAACAGGCAAGATATCACCATCAATGGGCCTGTTGCCTAATCTCACATCATTCCATCTACATGAAAATAAGCTCTATGGAGAAATTCCCTCCTCGCTGAAAAATTGTCACTCTTTGTTAATCTTCAATGTTCGGGAAAACAACTTTTCAGGAAATATACCAAATTGGATACCAGATGCTGCAAAAGTTCTCCAATTAAGATCCAATCATTTTACAGGAAATATCCCACCACATATATGCCAAATGTCTTCCCTCATTGTTTTGGATATTGCAGATAACAAAATCTCAGGACATATACCCAACTGCCTTCACAATATCACAGCCTTAGTTTCCGGCAAAACATCAGTCCACATGCTTTCTTTTTTCTTTCCCTTGCCTGATGGTCGCTACTACACCTTTGAAGACAATCTTGAGCTGGTTACAAAGGGTCAAGCAATAAAATACGGAAAAAACCTGCACTTTATGAACTTAATTGATTTGTCAAGTAACAATATTTCTGGAGCATTACCTCCACAAATGTTTAGACTCCTTGGATTATGTTCCTTGAACTTGTCCCACAATAAATTAACCGGAAAATTTCCAAATGAGATTGGAAACATGAACCAGTTGGAGTCCCTTGATTTTTCAGCAAACCAACTTTGGGGTGAAATTCCCCAAACTCTATCAAATCTGTCCTTTTTGAGTTACTTAAACCTGTCATTCAACAATTTCACAGGCAAAATACCATCAGGAACACAGCTCCAAGGTTTCGGTGAACTTAGCTATATCGGTAATACTTATCTTTGTGGACCTCCACTTACAAAAACATGCTTCCAAGATTATGTAAAGCAAATAAAAGAAGATGAGGATAAATCTGAATTTTGGTCATGGTTTTATACTGGAACAGAAACTGGATTTGGCATGAGTTTTTTGGGAGTTTGCTGTGCCCTTTTCTTAAATGGAAAATGGAGGCACGCTTACTTCAAGTTTCTCTGTCGTTTGATAGATCGACTTTATGTTATGGGACTCATCACTATAAATTCCTTCTCTTTTGCGTAGTGGTAAGCAGAAACTTTCAATTGGGGTTTCGATTTATTTTATTTATCGAATTGATCATACTAGAGGCTTTTATATTACATGCCTGTGATAATGACAATGCTTTTATTATATTATACCTTCAGGCATTCCTCATTCTTCAGAAGGGAATAAGTCATCAAGTGGGAGAGAAAAAAAAGACAGTGATGCAATTTTGATGGCAACAGCGACCACTGTCCATTAGCTCAAGATTTAGATTTTGTTTTTATTCCATCGGCAGACTGCGATTATACTTCTAGACTTCTCTTTTATTTCTTTATTTTCCCACGTAAGGATCTTACAGAATTACGTAATTAATGGCGTTAATCACTACAGCATTATCTTCTGAAGATGCATCCATTTTCATTTTCAAAAACCTTTACTTTACTCTCCCAATTTAAGTTTCTTGTCCGTTTACAATCATAGTATTTTGTTTTTATCTGAAAACTCTTTAATTTATCTGTCAAATTTTACCCTTCTCATGTTTTTCATTAATTAGTTCAAACTTCTTTAAGCTTATATCTGGAAAAAATTATGTTTTAGGAAATTTACAATGTTTAAATTTGTATCAGTTTGATTTTTTTTTTGTTTTAGTAAATTCATTCAGTTTTTTTAAATTTTAAGTTCTTAGTTTAGAAAGAATAGTTTAATTTTTACTACATAAAAAGTTAACTAAGTACTTTCAAAATTTAACATTATAATATTTATAAATAAAAATCAGATAATTTAAATGTTTAATCATTAAAATATTAATATAAAATAACATTTAATAATTAAAAAGTACGTGACACTTCACTTCGATATTAATTCTAAAGGAAGAGAAACAAAGAAAAAGAACATGTAAAATGAAGGAGAGAGGAGAGACAAAACTGATACAAGAGAGAAAAAAAAGAAGATAAAGAAAGAGTATAATATATTAAGTATATATTATTTATTCTAAAATATATGTTAAATAAAGTAATAATTTTCTTTTTCTTTTTTAAAGAAAAATACCCACCATCTTCTTGTTTTCTTCTCCCTTGTGTCACCTTATGTTCTTACAGGGAGCCCGAGGGAGAGAACAGTGAGAAAGCGATGGCAATGACGGCGAAGAGTAACAAGAGCAACACCTCCTTAACCGTTCCGAATCTGTTTCTCTTCTTCATCCTCCTCTCCCTTTTCTCACTTTTCATCTTCCTCTTCTTCCCCACCGCCACAATCCTACACTCTTCTACCTACCCTCACGCTTCTACCACCATCAACGTCTACGTCGCCGACCTCCCCCGATCCCTCAACTACGACCTTCTCCACCGTTACTGGACCTCGTTCTCCGACTCCCGACTCTCCACCGATGAAGATCACCGGCATCCCCCCTCCCTCCATCCAGTGGCCAAATACCCGCCTTACCCGGACAACCCTCTCATCAAACAGTACAGCGCGGAGTACTGGATCATGGGCGACCTTATGACCCCACCACAACATCGCGTCACATCCTTCGCCAAGCGTGTCCTCGACCCGCGTCTCGCCGACGTCGTTTTCGTTCCGTTCTTCGCCACGCTTAGCGCGGAGATGCAGCTCGGAGCGAACAAGGGCGCGTTCAGGAAGAAGACCGGGAACGAGGATTACAAGCGGCAGAGGGAGGTCATGGACGCCGTTAGAAGCACCGAGGCCTGGAACCGTTCCGGAGGACGAGATCACGTGTTTGTGCTGACGGGTGGGTTTTGGAAACAGTTTTTGTTTTTCTTTTTTTGCGTTGAATGTGAGGGTGTTTCGGCTTATGAATTTCTAGTCTTTGGATTCTCAGGGTATTAAAACTGAAGCGTTGTTTGGCAGACCCGGTGGCCATGTGGCATGTCAAAGATGAGATTGCCCCTGCTATTTTGCTCGTTGTGGATTTTGGCGGTTGGTATAGGCTTGACTCCAGAGGTTCTAACTCTATTGAGAGTGGTGTGGTTCCTCATACTCAAGTTTCTGTGATTAAAGATGTGATTGTGCCTTACACGCATTTGCTTCCGAGGTTGGATTTGTCACAAAACAAGGAGCGTCACCAACTTCTGTATTTCAAAGGAGCTAAACATAGGCACCGGGTAAGTATTGGACTATCCGTGTTAACTTTGGTACGTTTCGTGTGTTTTATGTTGTGCTTGCTGTTACCATCATTGGAATTGTGAGACATTGCGAACAAATGTCGCTGATGCAGCAACAATTCTAGTTACTTGATGTTGGAATCGCAATCGAGGTTGTGGATTTATTTTAAAACCTTTTGACTTGTGATTGAGTGAGTGTTGTTCCTTTTGTCTAATACTACTTGTTCTTGATGGGATTTTCACATCAGATAAATATGGTTTATCTTTTTTTGACTTAAGATTGTATGAAAAATGCCTCAGCTGCTGCTCCTTGCTGAGGTTGAAGAAAGTTACAAATTTGAGCAGATCTGCCATCTGTGTCTGCGTTTCTACAACTTTTTTCAGAAAAGAAAAGTTGTGTTGGTCACCTCTATTCTTTAGAGTATTGTTGTTGCTCAGGATTTTTTTTGAGGCAAAATGTCCTCCTTTCTGTCTCTGATCATAAGACACACTCGTCCATGTTTTGGACGTTCTTTGTGATAAGAATTAATAATCTTAGTGTACCTATACCAAGATAGGAGGCAGTATTCAATTATTTGGCCACTTCTTATGCAACTTGAACGTCATGTTGATAAGATCTGTGACTGTGATGTTGCTCTCTTCCTGCCTTTTTCACAAAAAGTGGGATATGTTGCTAGATAGATATAAATAATCACTTCAAAGATTTTAACATAATGCTTGTTTATAATTTATAATTGCAATATGAGCATTATGGTTTTTCCCTTTCATCGTTTAGCTTCATACATGCACTAGAAGTTTTAATCAATCTGTCATCCGGGAAAATACAATTCATGACTATTAAATGGCATTTTGATTTACTGAAAAATCGGTTGGTGAGAAGTATAGCGTTGTTTTCTTTGTTCTAAATGTATGATTTACCCTTTGAGCACCGTTCACAAAATAGCTCCAATATTTCCTACCTCATGCATCAAACCTACCTTTTGGCACTGCAAAGATATTTACTTTAGATTTTTGCAGCTGTATTAAGAGGTATTAAGGTTAAGAATTGATGTGACCTATATAATTAACTTAACTGATATATCTAGTTTTGTTAACAAATTTTATTCATGTCTTCATTTGGCCATTGGGGGGGCTACTTTGTAACACTTCACCATCATAGGTAGCCTATAGTGTTGGTGATAAATATTTAACATGCTTGGAGGATTTGTCATGATCAAATATAAAAACTTAAGCTAATTCATTCCGGCTCAACAAAGCATTTTGAAAATTTGATTCCACGCCTTATTTTAATGTAAAGAGAAGCCAACAATTCATTATACTCATCCAACATACATATGGTCATTCTGGTCCTTCGAATTATGAAACCCAAAAACCATATCTGTTCCATGCTTATCTCATTCATTGACAAATATTTCAATTTTCAGGGAGGTATGATTAGAGAGAAGTTATGGGATCTAATGATTGGTGAGCCTGGTGTTATAATGGAAGAAGGTTTCCCTAATGCAACTGGGCGAGATCAATCAATAAAAGGGATGAGAACATCAGAATTTTGTCTGCATCCAGCTGGAGATACACCGACTTCATGCCGACTTTTTGATGCAATACAAAGTCTTTGTATACCTGTCATTGTCAGTGACAACATTGAGCTGCCATTTGAAGGTATGGTGGATTATTCGGAATTTTCTGTTTTTGTGGCAATTAGTGATGCCCTGAAACCAAACTGGCTCGTCAATCATCTTAAAAGCTTTTCAAAAGAGCAGAAAGCTACGTTCCGCCAAAATATGGCTCGGGTACAGCCCATTTTTGTCTACGATAATGGTCATCCGGGTGGTATTGGACCAGTGCCTTTGGATGGTGCAGTGAATCACATATGGAAGAAAGTTCACCAAAAATTGCCAAGGATAAAAGAAACCATAATTCGAGAGAGAAGAAAGCCACCTGGTGTTTCAGTTCCACGACGTTGTCATTGTACCTGAATTTAAGTAGTTTTTTTTGTTTTTCTTCTTTTAGAGGGACGAGATATAGTTTAATATCTGGTTCGGTTTTGGACCAATTTCTTTTCTTTTGGTGAGAGGAGTTTGTTAAATCTTTAAATAGTGAATGCTTATTTAATGGTGTAGAAGTTAGTTGCCATTGACTGTGAGTAGTGTGGAACTAAGCATTTGAATCTCACAGCACCTGAATTGATATGTTTCCATGCTTCTCTTCACTTTGTATTGTAGACTGATAAGTTTTCAGAGTGAAATGTTGATCGGTGATTTTATTGTTTATTGTTTGAGTCGCTGATTTCTCTTTTAAAAGTTTTCTCATTGAAGTTCTGTTGTGATGAGGATATTTTCAATATTTAAATAAAGGAAACAATTCCATATTTTTTGTAGGTTCCTTCCTTTGGAATGAAAATTCTTGTAGGAATATACTTTTCCTTCTACAGCAACAACTTTTTGGTGCCAATTTGCTTTTAATTTGGATAATGTTTATACCTTTGCATTACTGTGGTTATAACTAACAGCCTATATAATATAGTTTGGATTGGGATAATGCTGTTTAAAGTACCTGAAAGTAAACCTAATGGGAATTTTTTGGGCAACCCCATGTTTTCTTCCTGGACCTATACTTTCTAAAATTCCAAATATATATATATATATATATATGCTGAAATTAATAGAAAAGGATAGTTTTTTATTTTTCCCCGTGCTTTAAGATTATAAGATCCATAAATATTTTAGATTATATAATGTATAATACAAATTAAAAAACAATTCTATAATATAAATTTACATTTTAAATTATATAGTCTGTAATACAAATTTGTAAGCAAGATAAAATAATAATAATAAGTAACTAAGTCATTTCACTAAGACGATTACAGAAAAAGAAATAGCCTCTCCTTAAACATGTCTTGTTAAATTTTTTGGAGCAAATTACTAACTAAGATGAAGTTTAAATATAATTTCAGCCAGAGCAAAAAGGCACATCAAATTATAGCCTGACTCCTGGCCCGAAAAAAATAAGCAAATAATAAGCGGCTAAAATGGAAAAAACCGACCGAAAAACAACGTCTTTTATTAACAAAACTCTTCGTAAGAAAATAAAGTGTTACTATGGACTTATAGCCAACCGAACGGTAAAGATGCAAGAGAGTTTCTAAGTTATTTTGAGCTTATGGCCGACCGATGATACCTTCCAGCCAAATGAATTGAGCAGACAAACAGTTAACCGGTAAAAATAGTAATAACTATCGGGGAGTTAATAAAAATAATTGTTATTTGTTAACAATTAAAAATATAATTTATGTGATTAATGAGTCTGACCTAACGATAATTTATAAATATTTGTCTGACAAAGAGGACATGTAACATTATAATTTATAAATATTTGTGTGACAAAGAGGACATGTAACTTTTGAACTCTAATAACTAATCTTGATTACAAAATTATTGTGCAAAGTCACTACTTTTGAACTCTAATAACTAATCTTGATTACAAAATTATTGTGCAAAGTCACTAACTTGAGTGTTTGAGTGTTTTTTGCAGCACTCTCCTCGCGGCTTCGACAAGGAGAAGAGAGAAGATATCGCAACCGAATGATGAAAGGGACAACTTTGAATGTTTTGGATTAGGGTTCTAAATTCTGCCGAAACATAAAGTATTTTTTGCATAAAACTTTATATAAGGGTTACAATTTTTTTTTTAAATTTGATATATCATTTAGGAGTATATGTAGATAAAATATGCTTTGAAAAGAAAATCTATCTCTACGTTTTATCTTTGGAATTCATTATCCATCACTACCTTTGTATTTAAACTTATTCTAAATTTCTCCTTTAAAACATATTTAAAATTAATAATTATTTTATCTTAATTATTTCCTTATGGATTCAAAACTTTCCTATCACATGTCACTAAACAAATACAAACTCATTCATCCTTAACTTGATGAGATGAAACTTTTAATTAAAAAACCTTCGAAGAGTGGCTTCATTAATATTAAACTTAACAAGGGTAAAAAAATTAAAAGATAAAATATTGTTTAATCAGCAAAAAGATTCTATAAAATTTCCTGTCACTTTGTTCTATCTAAGTTTCTATTTTCTATTTCTAGTCAAATCCTAACTTGCAGCTTTTGTTCAAAGTAGCTGGTAGAGGTGTCAATTTAACTTATGGCCCTAGGGTCAGCCCCAATCCATTATTGAAAAAGTCCTATTTTAAGAAGCTCCTCAAGTAGGGGTCAGAAAAAAGTCTCAATCCCCAAAATCCCCCTCTCAAGTGGGTTAGGGTCACGGTTAAAGTGGGTTTAGCCCCACTGCAAAACTTTAATTAAATTTTAGAAACAATATAATTTATATATTCATAATTTATTATAATTTATTGTAATTTTGCTCTCTCTCATATATATTATATTATATATTATATATATATTAAATATTTATGAATCAATATTTATGAATCAAATTCGTCAAATAACCGCATTAGAAAAATAAAAAATGAGGTTTTATGTAAATTAAACTTGTTGATATAAAAAATTAATATTGGAAATTTACATTTTAATCTTATAAACAGCAATTAGTTATAAACAATTCATTTAATATCTATCAGTTTTTCATTAATAATTTTCAGTTTATTCTTACATTTTTACTTATTTCTAAACTACTTATACAACCTGTTTTATTGGTGGTATGTTCTTTGACATGTTAATTAATTATAAACAATTCATTTAATATTTATCAGTTTTTCATTAATAATTTTCAGTTTATCTTACATTTTTACTTATTTCTAAACTACTCATATAACATGTTCTATTGGTGGTCTGGTCTTTGACTAATGTGAATACTTTTGTGTGTGTGTGTATATATATATATATATATATATATATATAGAAGTAAAAATAATTTTTTTCCATAAATTAAAATTAGCTTAAACGTTATTATCTTATTAAATATATATTTTAATTAAAATAATTATCTTATATTTTGTAAATTAAATGTTATTATTTATTTAATTATTTCTAAAACTTATTATTTTGATAAACTAAAATAATTATTTATAACAAAAATTATTTATAAAATTAATAAAAATTATTTATATTCATTGCAATATGAGTTTCATGGATGATAGATATAATTATTTTCTATAAATACATTTTTTATAGTAAATGATAAGTTGTAATTCAAATAAAGATCTCTAATATGAATTTGATGATTTCTAGTCTTAGTTTGGCTTGTAAAAATGCTTTTCTTTATTTGCTTTGCTAATGATATAAGATAATTCTTATGACAATTTTTTTTTGGAAAGTATAAAATAAATTGAAAGAATTTAATTAGTAGTCACTTAAATTATTGGAGTTTTCTATACCTTTGTCTTTTAACATGAGTTATCTTTGAATTTCTGTTTTTTTACATTATTTTTTTATTGTTTGTATTTTGGGCCAAATTAATTATTTGTCTAATTTTTGGCACAAGAAATCTGGATTATTATATGTGTGACAGTGTATGTGAAAAAATAGAATTGTTGTCGAAGATTAGAACTTCTAGAAAAAATGAAATATTATATCATAATTTAAATTCAATATATAGTTTATATATTCAAACAAGATTATTTATAGAATTTTAAGTACGAAAAATAGATATTTATTTTATATAATAAAAAAGATAATTAGATAATTTTGGTCTATCAAATATAATTGGATCATTTTTAGAAATTATAACACTTAGACTTGCAACAAATTAGAATTAATTACATTTTTTCTTGTATTTAAAATATAAAAAAATTCTACAAAAAAGATCCATAGGTTGACCCTAACCCACAGGGTTTTTATAGATATTTTGACCTTATGGACTTTTTTTATGAGGGCTTTTTGCCCCTGTGGACTTTTCTGGCCCCAACCCACGTGGGTCAGGCCCAAACCATATTAGAGCGGTCAAATTGACGAGTCTAGTAGCAGGACTGTTCATTCAAGTAGTAATAATAATTCGTAAAGAATGTGGTTTCATTGTAATATGTAAAGAAGCAAAAACCAAGATTGCAAAGGCAAGCTCTCTTCATTGATTAAATAAACCTTTACATTTACCATAGGCTTTACAAAAATTTACTTTTCTCTTACAGGGAGAGGATGGACCTGTAAATGACAGCATCCCTAGAAATTCGCTAAAAAATGCAGAATAGCAGGGCTAGGTTTACAATCAATATTTGATTGTCTATATACATTGCTAACTACTTGCATAAATTCTCAAATTTGTATATATATTTTGGAAAGAAATCAATAGATTTGGACAGAGAAAGCACTCGTCACTCTTGTACTAGGGCTTTTCTGGGGAAGGATGATCATCATCTTCTTCCCCTGAGCAACAAAGTTTGCAAGGATTGGAAGATTTCTGAGAACACCAGTGATCTGGAATACTAAAAAAATATGTAGACATAAACTTTCTGAACCTCTTTTTGTATTCTTTAGGAGAGATTACAGTTGGCAACACATTTCTTGGCACAACAAGTGATGACTTCATCCATGTCTCAAGATGCTTGTCCCATGTATATTGCCTGAGATAATCAATGATCCCGCAGACTAGCTCGCGCTTCTGAGAATCTACTCCAACAAGCAAGGAGTAATCCATCACATTGATTGACTGCATATTGAGCAAACAATGAAATAAACAATGTCAGATAATCAGGAAAAGAAGTCCAAAACAAAAACAAATTCAAGAATAAGGGTAACGTAATGGCATGATATATATGCTTTTTATGAAGAATTTAGGAACAAATACCACGATGGATTGCAGGGGCATTTAGTATGGAGAACTAGGGAGGAATTATAAGAATTCCCATAATTTGAAAATATGGATCACATTCAAATGAATTGTGCTACCAAATATACTATTGGGTTTTCATTAAGGAAAACTTGGGGAAGGTTCAACGCCAATAAGTTATGAACATTCCATATAATAAAATCAAGATACTCCATGTATTAACCTTAAGACAATGGATATGTGGATCTTATTTCTTATATGTTGCTCATTCCTACTTAATGTGACCAAACTCATTTGGAATCCTAACATATACTCCATGTATTAACCCAAGAAATTAGTTCAGAGAAATACTACAATTCAATCAGAAAAGTTAAGCTTATAGGCAAAATGCTTGCAATGCAGACTTACATTCAGAAAAGAAGTGTCATTCCAAACAGCGCGTTGAAGAACACGCTTTGCTTTATGACTGACATATAATGGGGAAGAGTTCATGTCATTCACAAAGTTCTGATCCAAAAGAACATCTCCATCACCATCAGCAGCAGAATTGTACCGGGCAAAAAGAGCACCTTTAAGATCATACTGGCGAGTAATATTTCGATTGTAGGTAAGATTTTCCATCACCATGAGGTCATATTTAACCTCTTTTCCACTTTTGACATGTCTTTTAGTAACCTGCATTCAGATTGACATGCTTAAAATTCCATGAAGCTAGAAAATGTAACACTATTTTAATTATATACGGCTTTCTTTTGCTTTAGTTCCCCTGTGTACTTGCTTTTATTTCAGCTTTAATCCCAAAAGAACTAGGCAAAGCAAGATCCCTGTTGAGGGACTACAATACTTTGTTAAATGTAGGAACTAAAAGTAAAAAAAAAAAAACGTAAATAGAGACTGAAATTTAACAATTTGGTGAAAAAGTTAGCCAATGGAAAAGAAAAAGATGCGCAAACAGCTCACCAACCTGATAGATCCCCAAGACTTTTGCAAGACAAGTTTGACTTCCAGACTCAAATGACTCTCTCATGTGTTTGAAATACAAAGAAGAAAACCCCAAAAATGAATCAAGTTCTGTCTTCTTTATTTCCTTTATGATGAATCTGTCATCAAGTGTTTTTGCAAAATAGGACTTGCTTTTTCCACCTTTGGCATCCCAATTCCTACAGCGGCTTAATGAAGCAATAAAATCAAGCTCGGATGGGCAACACCAGTTTCTAAGTTCACGAAACTGCTTGAAATAATGACATATCACTGAATATTTTTCCCTGCCAAGTGATTTTGCACCACCCATAGCAATCTCTATGCTATGGTTTTCTGTAGCACGAGAGGCCCGTGACTCTTCTGAACTGCTTGCTGCAGAATGTACAGACTCAGAATCTGAAGAACTCCTTGAAAATGATTGTAAAGAAGTTAAGGTACCATTAGTCAAGCTATGCAAACTTTCTGATGAATTTGAAGTTATACCAGTTTCATTTCTATCGTCCTCATCATCAATTTCTGATACCTCATATGTATCTTTCAATAAGGCCAGTGCACAAGCAATAATACTTGAGGGTTCACCCTCGAAGTCAGACACAACATGATTGTCAGTCTTGAGAGGGATATGCAACCGTGTACCTTCATCGGTGATTAATTGATTGGCTGTGGGTATATATTCAGCAACGGAGCTGCTTACAGATTCAAATTTTGGCAATAATCTTTTCTGGAATTCCCTTATGCCTATCTGCCGAATGTCGGTAAATGGTTTCCAGAACCAATCATTTAAATCCAGCAAGTTGGAAACTGGTGAATTGGAAGCACTTTTACTTAATAGCTTCAAATCTGCAACTGGATGATTAGCTGGAATATCTGTAGAAACTGGAGAATTCTTGCGTACTTCAAGATGATCTGGTAACTGAGTGGAAACATCCAGACTCAATTTCAACTTTTGGTCAGAAGATCTCCTTGATATCAAATCATCAACAACAGGTACTTTCACATCCTGTGTGTTAGATGGATCATCTTGTTCATTACAGTCCAGAAGAGGTCCTCCAATTGGAATTTCCTTTATTGGTAGTTCATGTACTTGAACAGGTGTGTCAAACGTAATTTCTATATCCCCATCTTGACTAACTTTCTCAGAGACATCAGATTCAAGTCTTAAGCTATCAAGTGAGCGTAATGGGTACAACCGTTGAGCCCACACATAAGATTGAATCAAAAGATCCCACATTAACCGGTTCAAAGTGAGAAGTTTGAAGGAAGCCTGGTCTGGATCCCCTTTTTTAGCAATGGCAGTCTTGACATTTTCCTGTTATCAGAACACAAGAAGTCCGAGGAAATTAATATTCACCATAGTAATCACAATATGTAAGGCTTCCATCCGGAGCAAAACTTGAAATGAAAATCCAAAACTAATGTATCACTAGCAATAAATTAAACCTGTCCACATTAAACAAAAAACTAAATTTTGCATTGGCAATGAAACTTTGGTTAGAGCTATAGTAACAGCAATATCAAACTTCAGACTTTTATTGCGCTAATACCATCACAGACTAAAACTTCCATTTTATGTATTATTATCACTATTGTTAATGCATTCTAGCATATCAAATTAAACAAATACAAATCCAAATTTAAGGTTATAGCTAGAAAAGAGACAACTCGTATAAACACATTAAAATTAGGACTTGAGTTGGTNTATTTGCTTTGCTAATGATATAAGATAATTCTTATGACAATTTTTTTTTGGAAAGTATAAAATAAATTGAAAGAATTTAATTAGTAGTCACTTAAATTATTGGAGTTTTCTATACCTTTGTCTTTTAACATGAGTTATCTTTGAATTTCTGTTTTTTTACATTATTTTTTTATTGTTTGTATTTTGGGCCAAATTAATTATTTGTCTAATTTTTGGCACAAGAAATCTGGATTATTATATGTGTGACAGTGTATGTGAAAAAATAGAATTGTTGTCGAAGATTAGAACTTCTAGAAAAAATGAAATATTATATCATAATTTAAATTCAATATATAGTTTATATATTCAAACAAGATTATTTATAGAATTTTAAGTACGAAAAATAGATATTTATTTTATATAATAAAAAAGATAATTAGATAATTTTGGTCTATCAAATATAATTGGATCATTTTTAGAAATTATAACACTTAGACTTGCAACAAATTAGAATTAATTACATTTTTTCTTGTATTTAAAATATAAAAAAATTCTACAAAAAAGATCCATAGGTTGACCCTAACCCACAGGATTTTTATAGATATTTTGACATTATGGACTTTTTATATGAGGGCTTTTTGCCCCTGTGGAATTTTCTGACCCCAACCCACGTGGATCAGGCCCAAACCATATTAAAGCGGTCAAATTGACAAGTCTAGTAGCAGGACTGTTCATTCAAGTAGTAATAATAATTCGTAAAGAATGTGGTTTCATTGTAATATGTAAAGAAGCAAAAACCAAGATTGCAAAGGCAAGCTCTCTTCATTGATTAAATAAACCTTTACATTTACCATAGGCTTTACAAAAATTTACTTTTCTCTTACAGGGAGAGGATGGACCTGTAAATGACAGCATCCCTAGAAATTCGCTAAAAAATGCAGAATAGCAGGGCTAGGTTTACAATCAATATTTGATTGTCTATATACATTGCTAACTACTTGCATAAATTCTCAAATTTGTATATATATTTTGGAAAGAAATCAATAGATTTGGACAGAGAAAGCACTCGTCACTCTTGTACTAGGGCTTTTCTGGGGAAGGAAGATCATCATCTTCTTCCCCTGAGCAACAAAGTTTGCAAGGATTGGAAGATTTCTGAGAACACCAGTGATCTGGAATACTAAAAAAATATGTAGACATAAACTTTCTGAACCTCTTTTTGTATTCTTTAGGAGAGATTACAGTTGGCAACACATTTCTTGGCACAACAAGTGATGACTTCATCCATGTCTCAAGATGCTTGTCCCATGTATATTGCCTGAGATAATCAATGATCCCGCAGACTAGCTCGCGCTTCTGAGAATCTACTCCAACAAGCAAGGAGTAATCCATCACATTGATTGACTGCATATTGAGCAAACAATGAAATAAACAATGTCAGATAATCAGGAAAAGAAGTCCAAAACAAAAACAAATTCAAGAATAAGGGTAACGTAATGGCATGATATATATGCTTTTTATGAAGAATTTAGGAACAAATACCACGATGGATTGCAGGGGCATTTAGTATGGAGAACTAGGGAGGAATTATAAGAATTCCCATAATTTGAAAATATGGATCACATTCAAATGAATTGTGCTACCAAATATACTATTGGGTTTTCATTAAGGAAAACTTGGGGAAGGTTCAACACCAATAAGTTATGAACATTCCATATAAAAAAATCAAGATACTCCATGTATTAACCTTAAGACAATGGATATGTGGATCTTATTTCTTATATGTTGCTCATTCCTACTTAATGTGACCAAACTCATTTGGAATCCTAACATATACTCCATGTATTAACCCAAGAAATTAGTTCAGAGAAATACTACAATTCAATCAGAAAAGTTAAGCTTATAGGCAAAATGCTTGCAATGCAGACTTACATTCAGAAAAGAAGTGTCATTCCAAACAGCGCGTTGAAGAACACGCTTTGCTTTATGACTGACATATAATGGGGAAGAGTTCATGTCATTCACAAAGTTCTGATCCAAAAGAACATCTCCATCACCATCAGCAGCAGAATTGTACCGGGCAAAAAGAGCACCTTTAAGATCATACTGGCGAGTAATATTTCGATTGTAGGTAAGATTTTCCATCACCATGAGGTCATATTTAACCTCTTTTCCACTTTTGACATGTCTTTTAGTAACCTGCATTCAGATTGACATGCTTAAAATTCCATGAAGCTAGAAAATGTAACACTATTTTAATTATATACGGCTTTCTTTTGCTTTAGTTCCCCTGTGTACTTGCTTTTATTTCAGCTTTAATCCCAAAAGAACTAGGCAAAGCAAGATCCCTGTTGAGGGACTACAATACTTTGTTAAATGTAGGAACTAAAAGTAAAAAAAAAAAACGTAAATAGAGACTGAAATTTAACAATTTGGTGAAAAAGTTAGCCAATGGAAAAGAAAAAGATGCGCAAACAGCTCACCAACCTGATAGATCCCCAAGACTTTTGCAAGACAAGTTTGACTTCCAGACTCAAATGACTCTCTCATGTGTTTGAAATACAAAGAAGAAAACCCCAAAAATGAATCAAGTTCTGTCTTCTTTATTTCCTTTATGATGAATCTGTCATCAAGTGTTTTTGCAAAATAGGACTTGCTTTTTCCACCTTTGGCATCCCAATTCCTACAGCGGCTTAATGAAGCAATAAAATCAAGCTCGGATGGGCAACACCAGTTTCTAAGTTCACGAAACTGCTTGAAATAATGACATATCACTGAATATTTTTCCCTGCCAAGTGATTTTGCACCACCCATAGCAATCTCTATGCTATGGTTTTCTGTAGCACGAGAGGCCCGTGACTCTTCTGAACTGCTTGCTGCAGAATGTACAGACTCAGAATCTGAAGAACTCCTTGAAAATGATTGTAAAGAAGTTAAGGTACCATTAGTCAAGCTATGCAAACTTTCTGATGAATTTGAAGTTATACCAGTTTCATTTCTATCGTCCTCATCATCAATTTCTGATACCTCATATGTATCTTTCAATAAGGCCAGTGCACAAGCAATAATACTTGAGGGTTCACCATCGAAGTCAGACACAACATGATTGTCAGTCTTGAGAGGGATATGCAACCGTGTACCTTCATCGGTGATTAATTGATTGGCTGTGGGTATATATTCAGCAACGGAGCTGCTTACAGATTCAAATTTTGGCAATAATCTTTTCTGGAATTCCCTTATGCCTATCTGCCGAATGTCGGTAAATGGTTTCCAGAACCAATCATTTAAATCCAGCAAGTTGGAAACTGGTGAATTGGAAGCACTTTTACTTAATAGCTTCAAATCTGCAACTGGATGATTAGCTGGAATATCTGTAGAAACTGGAGAATTCTTGCGTACTTCAAGATGATCTGGTAACTGAGTGGAAACATCCAGACTCAATTTCAACTTTTGGTCAGAAGATCTCCTTGATATCAAATCATCAACAACAGGTACTTTCACATCCTGTGTGTTAGATGGATCATCTTGTTCATTACAGTCCAGAAGAGGTCCTCCAATTGGAATTTCCTTTATTGGTAGTTCATGTACTTGAACAGGTGTGTCAAACGTAATTTCTATATCCCCATCTTGACTAACTTTCTCAGAGACATCAGATTCAAGTCTTAAGCTATCAAGTGAGCGTAATGGGTACAACCGTTGAGCCCACACATAAGATTGAATCAAAAGATCCCACATTAACCGGTTCAAAGTGAGAAGTTTGAAGGAAGCCTGGTCTGGATCCCCTTTTTTAGCAATGGCAGTCTTGACATTTTCCTGTTATCAGAACACAAGAAGTCCGAGGAAATTAATATTCACCATAGTAATCACAATATGTAAGGCTTCCATCCGGAGCAAAACTTGAAATGAAAATCCAAAACTAATGTATCACTAGCAATAAATTAAACCTGTCCACATTAAACAAAAAACTAAATTTTGCATTGGCAATGAAACTTTGGTTAGAGCTATAGTAACAGCAATATCAAACTTCAGACTTTTATTGCGCTAATACCATCACAGACTAAAACTTCCATTTTATGTATTATTATCACTATTGTTAATGCATTCTAGCATATCAAATTAAACAAATACAAATCCAAATTTAAGGTTATAGCTAGAAAAGAGACAACTCGTATAAACACATTAAAATTAGGACTTGAGTTGGTTCCATGTAAAAAGAAATGTCTCAATCATTTCAAAACAGAAAGCTAACCTCAAACTCTTCTTGCTCTTGCTTTAACATCTTCTCAACCTCAGAGAAATCTCTAATTGATCCTCCAAGGCCATCAAATTGTATTGTCTTCAAACAGTTTGCAACTTCTCTGAATAATGATATGCCTTTCATATACACCTTAAAACAAAGAAAATTAAAGATACTTTATATGCAGGTAATGTATGAGAATTAAGAGCAAAACTTTTCTCAACTTATGTATATTATATTTCAGCCCCTACAAACGAAAGAAAGAAATATCTATATAAAAATAGCCTAATAGGAAGCATACATTCTTAGTCTCTTTTAAAAGCCACTCTTGTCTCATTGCACCATTGAACTCCAGTTTCTGAGGAGGCATAGACACAGTGTATGTGGTGACAGAAGAATATCTGAACATAGCAACCATGTGACCTAATCTGCATGATAAGGAACGACAAAACGAAACCCAGCATCAATAAAACCCTCCTTGAGTTTATCAAGTCACAAATCATGGAGTCTATACTACTGAGCACAACACAAAAAAAAGCACCTTACATTAAGGAACATTCCTAAATCTTAAAAGTACTTGGGTGGCACTTCAAATTTGTATCAGCACAAAAAGAAAATAAACTAAATTTTACTTAATAGCCTAATTCATAATCATCAGACCTTAGAAGTGAAGGTGACATGTCAAACAATACATCTGTTTCTCTAAAACAAATATTGAACATGTTAAAGATAAACCAAAACAAGTACAAA